ACCATCCTACAAATGCCGCCCTTCAGCTCAGAGAGAGAGGTACCTATTTTTTACCTTCCAAACCACTTCAAAGCAATACCTCCCAAGATTCAGTGCCACAGTAGACATTTTATGAGTGTCTTGGTAACTTTTTTTTAGCATTGAGAGCAACCTGCTTGTTAATAGATGTTCACAGGCAATTTACAGCAATATTATTCAGTAGCTGTTAGATACCCAACAGTTATTACTAAATAACTATATTTGTTACTTATCCTTTATCAGCTGCTAATCTTTTTTTTTCCAGAATTATCCTTCAGTTCCAGTTTGGACAAGGAAAGAAAAGCCTTTTTCGTGACTTTTTTTTTTTTTTTAGGAAGAAAAAAGGTTACTAATTTGGCATACCCAATTTGGCAATCTTCTTGTCCTGGCTTCCTGCAATTTTAACATTTTTCCTCGACTAGCAAAGCAAACAAATGCTGCAGTCTGTAGTAGAGGTCACTTGCCTCTGCTTTCTCCGTCCTGCGACTTGGAAATTCAAGCTGCATCCACCCACCATTCTAAATGCAGAAAAGCGCCCTGAATTTGGGACTCAAAAGCAAATCAGCAGGACGGTCTTAGCAGGACCCTGGGCAAAAAATCCTTAACAAAATACGCGCTGTAATGAGGTACTCTGCAAATAGTCTATAAAAGATTTGTGTCCCTAACACAACATTTACCCCATATACTCTTTGATCATAGTCTAGAAGAGATTTGCGACCTAAACATTTATCCCATATAATCTTTGATCACAAGAGAAACAGTAGAAAAATCTATAAATCAACCAGGAAATCTTATACGAAGGGTCAGTTTTTCAGATAACAAAAACTTCATCTCAATCCTTACCCAACGTATCTCACAAAATGTCTGCACCAAACGCTTCTCATCTGTTTAAATCCTCCCTTTAAACCCCGTAGCACCTTCGGCTGGTATGGAAACTAAGCTAAGCCAGCCAATCAACCTGTGCGATGACAAAGGCGGGGCTCTTTTAGTTTTTTTGCCTTACCCACGCTGCTAATGAGAACTTAAGCTCTGACGTCATACAGAATTCTGCCAAACCGATTGGTGGAAGGTGGCTGAGGCGATGTGGGTTCATACTTAGTCTTTCACCGCCTCGTCGCTCGCACGCATGGAATTATAATTCAGGGTTCGCCTAGCCATGGTTTATTGAATAAGCTATCCTAGCTGGGTGCACAATAAATTATCATCTGCTTTCATTCACACAATGAAACAATGTGTTGCTATATAACAACAAATTTTCTTCAACATGTATAAACATTGTGCCTAAATAAATCATGGTTCAGTATCTTCAGGTTTCAGAGAAGCAATTTTAAAAAAGCAAGAAAAGTCTTCACGGCTCAATTCTTTTTCAAGCACTTTTTCATGTATAGTATTTTCAAGCAGAAATTACTACTCTAGTCAAAACAGATAATATTGATTGGTTATTTGGATCTCAGCCCCCTACATAGCTAAATGTTGCATCACTCGTGTTCCACCCCAGGTCACAGGTATCTTGCAAAGTGTCCTTGTTTCATGTGCCAGCTATGTGGTTTTTAGGGTTTTTCATATAAGCAAGCTATTCTTGTCCCTAATATCCTGGCTAGTGGTTTAAGGCGTTAACTTCTGCCTTGCTAAGAATGTGCAGTTCCAACAACCCCTTTCCTATTGCAGAGCAGCTCAAGGTAGCACTGCCACCCCCTGCCCTCCTCGGGCCTCCCGTTGTTCGCTGGGGCTCCCCAGGCCTTGGAAACTGGCAAAAAAACATAGAAAGCCTCAGTCACAAGACTGTGTGGGATGTTTTAACTGGTCATAAGTATGTGTGTGTGTATGTATGGCTGTCAAAACACCAAAACCAGGTCAAGTAGCTCTGGGGTGTTCATTCGTAAATTAGAACACTTGCTAAGCAACCGGCCATTAAGCAAGGACCACTTATTATTGATTTGCCAGTCACATGGCCACCTAGCTATGCCCACCCTAGTCACATGGCCACCTAGCCACACCCACCCATCATACAACCACCTAGCCTTGCCCACCCTCACATGACCACCTAGCCATGCCGTTAGCAAGCCACACCCACCCAGTCACATGACCACCAAGCCACACCCACAAATTAGGCCATACCCACAGAACCGGTTGTTCAGAAATTTGAATCCCACCCCTGGTTCTAAGCATGCCTGTAACTGACATAAAATCTACTTCTAGAGAAATATAGATCCTGATTAATTTTCTTCAAGCCTGGTGAATGAGTGCTGATAGCAGCTATTTTCAAATATATTTTTTTTGCTTGCCTGTTATTTATTTTAATTTTTGTGTTTAATTTTTGCATTCAGAGTATTCACTGGCTTTATCCTATTCGGTATTATCTGCTGTTCAGAGTCACTTGTTGAAATAGTAATTGTATAAATTGATTAAACAAATAAATAGCACTTGCATATCCTGATGCCAAATAACTCTTTTAAAACAATAATTTCCTATTATTCATTGCCAGGAATAGGGAAGATATGCCCTAAAGAGCTCCATTTCCTGGCTACCATTTATTTAAGTGTAACTCTTCTTCACTAGACCTCCACTTGCCTTTATTTAATATCTACACTTCATACCAGCCTTTTCTTCAAAGGGAAAACATCAACAATCTACGTATAAAAACATGTAAAACACCAGAAAATTGCCCATATGTTTCCACTGAATATTTATTTTATAAACAAATCAAAGTCATTTAAAAAAAAATAGCCAGTCGTTTTTTAATAGTCTACCTATGGTCCATAGCATTTTCTACCTTACCTAGACAAGGGGCAGAAGATACGTATATCTTGGGATTTTAACACTGTGGTCCACAAAGAGACTTGGAATGGAGTTAGACTGTATTCCAACAAGGTCTTGATTCCTCCAAAACCCAAGAAGAATTAGCAGATAAAGAAATGCTAAAAGGGATCAGGATCCAGGGCTTTAAACAGCTGGATGGAAGAAAGAGGCTCAACATGCACCAGTATCACACAAAAACAAGCATTATCTGCTGAAATATATTCTCTTTGACCTTTTTTTTTTGCATCAGGTTACACACTTATTCTGCTGTGCCCTTACAGAGACAAGGAGTAGCAAGGTGATCAAAACTCAGATCATCATGAGTTTTTTATTGTTGTATTTTGGCTGGTAAATAAAAATTGTGGGAAGACACCTTAAGTCCAACACTCTGTGGGACATCTGGATAGGGGAAAAAACGAATGCTTCCATTTGTAGTTGGGGTGTGGGTCACTTTTTCACACATGTACTTTTAAAAATGGCAGCGCACATAATAAACGATCATGTTATGTAAAGAGTGATAGCTTCTCACAAAACCATTTACTTTCAATGTGCTAGGAACATATATTGTTGCCCAATAATGAGTCCAATGCCATGAGTATGTCTCACTTGTCCTACCTGAACCGATTCAGCTAGTGACTTTACAAGATTTCCAGAACATGGCCTTTCAAACTTTTATAAATTCAAGCATTATTTTTTAAATGGGAGAAAATTCCATGTGCAGCCTATCACATTTCTTCTCATGAACTGAATTCATTCTGGCCTGTCGATATTAATATCTCCTATGCCGTCTGAAATCACAGAGCCCAAGAAGCCTATCTCGGCCAGGATGTTCTGCAGGCTAGTCCTGCTTTATGGATGCCTCATGAGGTAGAAGAAATGGCACTGTTCCAGGCTGCATTGGATGATGCGTACCCTACCGCTTTAAAAGGGCAGCTTATCCCCTGCTGGGCTCATTTCTATTATTTCATTTCAAAAATATGTGCAGTTTAAAAACCAAGAGCAGCATTTTCAAAAGGGACACCTTTCCTCATCCCTAGAGTGGTCCAGTGCCTTCTACCACCTTCTTCTGCTGGGCCTGCAAATGGAGATAACTGAATTCCATAGTACATGTAATCTTCAACCTAGGGTGGGTGTCAGCAACCCGCGGCTCTGGAGCTGCATGCGGCTCTTTGGGTCCTCTGCTTTGGCTCCCTGTTGGGTGGTCCTACCACTGGCTGGCCCCGCCCCTCCCCCTCCCCTCTCAGTCACTCCTCACCTGGCCTGAGAAGGTAAAACACAAAAAATAGAAATGAGAGGGAGGGAGGGAGGGAGACCCATTTCCCACAGAAAACATTGGGAGCCACAAAACCTGGGTAAGTATGGTGGTGGTGTCATGTGACTGGGTGGGAGTGATGCTGAGTTGGCCACACTCACCCAGGTTTTGTGGCTCCTGGTGTTTTCTGTGGGAATCGGGTCCAAATGGCTCTTCGAGTGTTTAAGGTTGCAGATCCAATGACCTAGGATCACAACAGGGACCAGATTTTCCTTTGCTAAGCCAGGTGGTTGTCAAGTAAGTCGTGCCCAATTTTATAACTTTCTTTGACCGTGGCTGTTAAGCAAATCGCTGCAGTTAAGTGTTTCAGGTGGCCATTAAGCGAATCCCATTTCTCCCATTGGCTCTGCTTGTCAGAAGCTGGCCACAAAGGTCACAAATGGTGATCTCATGACCCCAGATTGCTACAACCACATGTTAGTTGCCTAGCGCCCAAATTTTAATCATGTGACTGTGCGGATGGTATGACAAGTTTTAAGTGTTATCAGTTTTAAGTCATTTTTTCAATGCTGTCGATGACTATTTGTCCAGTGTAAAAAGGCTTGTCTGCATTTAGCTTCCCTTTCCAGGAGAAGAGAGTTAGAGAACTGCTCAATGTTCCAAATTTCCATTATTAGGTATTGTCCGTGTTGAATATTCTGATCCTGTGGTTCCCAGTCGTGATCTTGCCTCCCTCCCCCTTGACAAAAACAGGTTAAAGGTTCATTCTTTGCTCCAATGACAGGGTGGTACTTCTAACAGGAAGTATACAGCTTGTATGCATTTCAGGAGAGATCCTGCCATGGGATTATTGGTGCGTTGATGACAAAGGAAACAACGCAATCCTTAGCTTGTAAATACTGTGTAACAGAAATTGGGGAATACTTCCTCCACTCAAATAAGCTGTTGGGTTTTTTTAAAAAGACAGGAGGGTAACATATGTCAAGGCACGATGGTTCTCCTCTCCCTCCCTCCTTTTTTAAAAACCCTTAGTGGGCACTTTATTCACAATATATTCAACTATGGAGCAAGCGTTATTCCAGATCAATTAATCCAAATCAATTGTATGCTATTACTAGTGCAGTTTAAGCTTCTGTGCAGAATTTGACACTGAATTAAATATCTGAGCAGGCAGCTACGCTCCGATTTTTAAAAACGCTGCCAGTTTCTGCCCCATCATCACAGCGGATAAAAATTGAAATGAACAGGAAATCCATAGATTCAGATAAGTGAACATTTCAAACGGTTCAGTTCTCCTTGAGGATTATCCCTAGTTAGAATTGCTTGTGCTTTTTCCCAGTCTTTCCAGCCCTCTTCGCCTTGGCCTCAACAATGCTTCTGCCATGATTGTCTGAAAAATCCAAGAAGCAAAACAGAGAAAGCTACTACATCTACACAAACTGCCCTATTTATAAAGATAATCAACAGCATCTTCAATGCTGTTTAAAGCATCATGATTCCCACTGGCTAATCATCAGGCTTTACACCAAAGACAGAATTCCATAAGGAGTAATAAGAGGTACCTCGGAAGCAACGGGTGCAGCTCCCGCCTGCAGCCGCTAGAGAGCAAAAAGAGGCAAAAAAACATGCAGTAAAAACAAATTCAGAGGGGAGGGAAAGTTGGTGCAGTTTCTTCAATTACCACTAGAGGGAGTGTTAAACAAGGACCTGGCAGGAGCCAGATTTTCCTCAAAAAGGTACAAGAGGTATAATATCTGAACTGGCAATCTGGTACCTTCTAGATAACAACTTCTACAAGCCCCAGGAAGCCAATGGAAGAATATTATAGATACTGTAGTGCAGACCATGTTGGAAAAGGAAGAAAAGGCTTTTTAAAAATAGGTATTCAGGAAAATACTGTGGTACTCGACCAGCCTTTTCTACATGGGACGCACGTTCCTCCCCTCTTTAGGGCACACAACTGAACTGCTGGGGAGCCCCTTCCCTCCATCAGCATCCCAGAGAAAGAATGAATCAGTCCATATCCATGGCACTCAAGTCGATGGCGGGCATCCAATGTTCTTGAAGGTGAGGAGTCTTTTCAGTTCTGCCTCTCCACCCATCCCCTGCTCCATCTCTTCAAGTTCACATGACAGTCCTGCTTCAGCTGATGAGACGATAGAAGACCCAGCACCCGAAGGTCACCCAGTGGCTGGCCCAGCTCAACTCAGACCATTTGTTGATGGTGTAAGACATGCCGTAGCCCTAGAGGGAAAAGCAGAACATCCGCCAAGTCAGATTCTGGCACAGACAACTCTTGACGGTGGGGAGGCTTTCATTCAGACAGGGAAGAGCTTAGACAACCTCCTTTCAAATAAATACGCAGGCCTAGTCTTTTGTCACAGCCAAGTTGGTAGTTGACCAACCTCCAGACTAACTGGAGATGATGGCCAATGAAGTTCAGAAAGGCTGAGCCTTGCTTAGTGGGATTTTCCCTCTATTCCATGATTGTACTGAGGGATTTCCTTTTTCTGTCATTGCTCTCGCTGTTAGCAATTTTTTTTTAGTTTTCATTCCTCAGGATAATTAAGATACATTTCAATAGGCACCAGCAATACTTAGTGCAGTCTTATGCAAGTAATAAACAAAGATCCGATTATCTGATTAACATCAGCATCCCTAATAAATGCTTGTTTCCCCATAGCTGGTTGCCATAAGCAAAATTAGGCCCAATAAAGGTGTCCCCTTCCATGAAAACCAAGTTGGCCATAGGGTGTGTGGGGATGGGGTGAGGAACAAACTTTCAAGAAGGGACATTGGAAATCATCTTATGAGTGAACCACTGCAGAAAGGGAGAAACACTTAGTTCAAATAGAGGTACTCTGTGCTCCAATATGCACAAACAATGCTCTAAACTGAACATTTTTAACTCAAGCAGTTGACCTGGTGGCAATAAAAAGCTTGACAAAAGCACTCCATTTCCTCCCCTCCCTTTTAAATTATAGGCATTTGTTGTCGAACAACCACATGTTCAATGATCCTTTGAAATCACAAAGGAGCTGAACAAGGGGAACTTCTGGTGATCCTCAGTTATAACGGCAGCTGTTGCAACGTGCCCAGCAGTCACAGGATCACAATTTGGGCACCCCACAACTAGCTCACAGTTACGACCTTGTACCCCACAACTAGCTCACACTTACAATCTAAGGCTATGTGACTGCCATTTGTAACCTTCAACTGATGGCTTCTGACAAGCAAATTAAATGGGGAAACTGGTGGGGAGTGGCAAATGGCAGTCACATGACCGTGAGGATACTGCAGCTCCATGAGGTTCACCCAACAACAGCAGCTGGGGCTGCGGTAACTGCAGTTGTGATGATTGACATTGCACTTTACAACTGTGTCACTTACACAGTTCAATTACCATTGGTTAAGTGAGGTCTACCTGAACCTGCCTGTGGTCTGGATGATGGTGATGATCTCCACCATTTCCCAATACCATCTTTGTCTGCTCTACCACAGTGTGGCAAAGGCATATTGCTTTCCTTCTGATTTGGCTTCAGACATCACGAGAAAGGCAGATCAGAGATGATTCTATGTCCCTCTGAATTTGCAGGAAAATTTCACGAAGTCCTGGTGGACGCTCCCTAAACTTGGTGCCATGCAGATGAGATGAGATTAGCTGTTGTATGGCACATCCGCACGTTATTAGATCAACTAGGTTAAAATAAAGGGGTGGAAGGGTCTCTCAGATAGTATTGGCAGTTGTTTCATGACCACAATTGGGACTGGGAATAATTATTAAGCGAAGTGGTTAATAAGTGAAACCTTAACTATATTATAATCTCACTTCAGCTTTCCTTTACTACACAGACCTGCAAAGGTCATGAATGCAAAGACTGGACACAAAGTTGATTGTTCATCAGTACATTTGTACCTGTACATTTTTTTTGGACTCCTCCCAAAAATATGTCCAATACGGGTATGACATAAAACTTCTATTCTGCCACTCACCGCTATCCTGGATAGCTCACCTGTTCTTCCATAGTCTCATCGGCATCCATATCAAATAATGAGCCTAAGTAGGCCAAGTGGAAGACAGCGAGAGCCCCAAAGAGCACGTTGAGGAGACGAACCCAGAGATTCTGTAGTAGCAGAAGCATCAGAGGTTCAGTCCAACTGTAAACAAGCAGAAATTCAACCCGCCACTCCCCACCCACCAACAGAAACAGTCCAGTCAAGAGGCTTCATATAAGCAGCAACATGTTGCCTTGTTATATCAGGCTTCAATGATCTACAGACCCAAAAGCTGAAAGAGATTTCAGGATCAGGAAGGCCGGATCCAGCTACACTAGGGTTCTGCAACCTGCAGCTCTGGAGCCACATGCGGCTCTTTTGGCCCTCTGCTGCGGCTTTCTGTCAGCTGACCCCACCACTGGCTGGCCCCTCCCCTCCCCGTCATTCCTCACCTGGCCTGAGAAGGTAAGGGTGATGGCAGGGGATGGAGACTCGCTCAATATTCCAGAGCAGGAGGTGACTGGATGGGAGTGAGTGACATCAAGTTGGCCACGCTCACCCAATCACACTGGTTGTTAAATTATTGGCTCCCAATGTTTTGTTTTCTGTGGGAAGCGGGGAACGGCTCTTTGAGTGTTTATGATTGCAAACCACTGTGCTAGACCCAAGGTACAATCTTTGGCACAATCAGTTGAGGCTGCAGGGGATAGGGTTGACGCAAGGATTAGACAAGGCCAGAGTCAGAAGAGGGTAGGGTTTCTTTCACTGACATTCTGCTTTTCCTCTCTTGTGTACTGGAAAGAGAGACAATGAGCAAACGAAGTATAAACCCATCTCTTGCAGATGTGTTGTAGAAACCAAGGGCCATATGCAGTCCTACAGTGTCAAAGTTGCACACCTCACGCTAGAACATTATTCTCGCATTAGGTGTAAAAGGGGAGGGGCTTTTATCCCTTGAGATTTCAGCATATACTTACCGTGCTGTTCCGATGTGAGCATCCTGGTTGACACTTCTTGGAGAGTATACAGGCATCAAAGATGACAGACAACCTCTTTCTGAGAACTAAATGGAAATCAGGCAAGCAAAATGGTGCTCAAAGTTGTCCAAGATTTAGCTCTTGACTCTTGGTTTGCTCAACTAAGAAATGTTTGCTTCAAACGAATTTCCTATATTGGGATTCAATGCAGCATTCCAATTTGTTATCTGCAGTGACAGCAGCTTTAAATATTCTTTGCCTCCCAAATGAAGGAGAGAAAAATGCAAAACTTAAAAGTTTGCCACAGGGTGTACAAGGAACTGCAAAATGGCATCTGTCATTAGATCATTTCAAGACAGTTAATTATGGGTCTTGTTGGCTTGTGATCCAGTATGATATAGTGGCGAAGGTGCTGAGCTAGAAACCAGGAGATGGTGAGTTCTAGTACTGCTTTAGGCATAAAAGCTGGCTAAGTGGCTTTGGCCAGTCCAGTCTCAGCCCATAGGGTGATTGTGGGGAAATGGGAAGCATGAGTATGTTTGCAGCCTTGAGATAAAGAGATGAAAAATTAGATAAAGATCTAACAATAATTCTCAGGGGATGTTTTTCTAAAGACAATGAAAGTTGCTACATGGCATCTGGCAACTTCCCAGCAGGCTGGTTTTTGTGATGATGGTGCCCACATTAAAACTGTGAGGAAGTGGAGGAGTGAGCATTACTGTCACATCTTTTAAGTGCCGGCTGAAAATTTACTTGCTGATCAAAATCTTCCTAGTATGAATGTTAGGAATGATTTTTCCCATCTTTTTAAGGAATATGTTTCACTGGATGCTACCTTAATTCCTAGCTATTATATTCTTATTTTTTTAGTTTTTATTTGTTAAATTTATAATGCTGTGTGTCTATTATTTACAATAAAAGCAACGATAAAATATATAAAACAGTATTTTATCTGACATGGCTTTGGCACAGCAATCAGACAATAGAGAAGGGAAAGGGAAGCAGAACACCTCAGCAGGAGAAAAACAGCAGTGAATGACTCACCATGTTCAATGTAAGTGATGAAGCCAAGTGACAACAACACAGCAGCCAGATGGAAGCTCAGCCCCTAAAAGAAATGAGACTGTAGTTAGGACAGCCATCTCTAAGCCCCTTTGCACAGGTAGATGCATAGGACAACTGCCAGGACCACTGATTTCTCAAGACGCCACATCAAAACTGGACAGGAATTCTTCTCATATGAACAGATCTCGCTCCCCAAAAGGAAACAACCTGGAAACACAGGAGAAGGAAGGACAAGTTTGTCAGAGGTGCCCCAACTTTGTCCTTTAATTAAGAAAGACCCTCGACTCCATTTGTAATGAAAGGTATATATAAAGTCAAGTGGATTACAGTATAGCAAAGCCCAAACTGATGTTTGCACAGCAAACTTTCCTGGTTAACTTTCCCTGTCCAGTTCCTTCCCCTTGCTAGTCCCTTATTGTCCAATTCTATTTGAATACATTGTTTTGGTAACTGTCTCTTCAGTGGGGGCTGCACTTTGACCTTTGGAAAGCACGATGAACAGTAGTTCCCTCCTCCATATTGGCTCCGTCCCCCCCATAGTTTATGGCAGACTGAAGCTAGTGAATGCAAAGCTCAGGCCTATGATGGCAGCTCTGACAATGTTAAGGTCAGCTGAACTATACAAACAATAGCCTATTTTGTTCCTTGGCTTGTTACAATCTGCCGTTCCTTTGGTTTACTGATTTTGTTCCCCATTTGGCTGATCAACAAATGATACAAAGGCAACTAGAGCTTCTCCAAGCATGCAAAGTAGTGCCAGAGAGGTGGGGCAGAAATGCTTTTAAATCAATCAAAATAATAATAAATAAAGCAGCCTGCTGAACAGAATCCAGAGTTTCTCACTTATGATTATCTTAGGTCTAGTTTACAGGAAATCTATGGAATGTATCTCTGAGAGTTTCTAACAAATGAAGCTTTAAATTTCAAAAGGAAGACAAAATTTTTCCAAGTAGCATCTCCTACTCCATCAATTTTGCTAATTGCAGAAAGTTCACCACATAGAACTGAATAGGAATCATTATGAATGAAAGCAATTCATATCTCTGAAGATCCAGATTTCTAGCCGCCTCCCTGTCATCTCTCTAACAAAACAAAACAGTCCTACCTCACTAAGCTGGCAAGTGGTAGGATCTATTTCCACAACACACTAACTTAGTTAATGAATAGATATATCATCACGCTACATTCCTGTTATACATTATAAATCTTAATGTCAACAGCTCATTGTGTTTTGTGAATCCAAAACAGCATGCCTGGAAGATAGACTTCATAAATACTGGCAATGTAAGTTAAACTATGCAGTTTACCAACTTCCAAAATGGAGCCCAGGAGAAGGTGTTTCAGGAAAGCAAGGTGATGTTGTTGGTATCTTGGTCAACTTGGATGGCCCATCCTCAAAACCAGTTAAATAACTAAGTCAAAAGTTGTGCCAGTGATCAGCATGAAGTCAAATTTGATGAGAAAGCTGAATATAAGCGCCAGCATCTGAGATGGCTTCAAGGACCAGATCACCAGGAAGATTTACTCAGCAGACTTAGAGAAAGACGAAACAGAAAGGTAGAGGAGGAGGTCCGGGGAGAACTATTGAGAGTGAAATCCATTTCGATATCAAGAGTCTGGAGCAGAGCAATATGGTCTGAGGAAAGGTGAAGATCCACCATAGTGAGCCAGGCCAGAGCACTGAGGAGACAATGCAAAGAAAACTCCCCTGGTAATTGTGAGGCAGGGAGGAAATTTTATTGATCCTCTGAGGAAATAAATCTGCTGTACCCTGAAAGCTGCCATGAATCCAACCTTCACATAGTTGACATGCCTTTAAGAAAGAACCTGGTCAAAGGTTCTAGAGAGAGTGCAAGAAGGAAATAGCAGACTTTACTCCAAAAAGGGATTTATTTATGTATTTATTTGCTTATTTCCAGCCATTCTATCTTGCTCAATCTCTCCTAAATATTATCTGACTTACTTCTTACTGCACGTATGGGGAGATAGAACAAGTAACTAGATGATGGAATTTGTAGGTCATTATATAATGATGCACTGAGATCTCCTCACAATACACGAATTTGACAACATTTAAGGCTTGGCATCCAGATTTTTAAAGATTTGTTCATGCTGCCAAAGATACAGAAATGGAATATGGGAATGAGCTTATAAAGGGATACTCACATGTAAGAGGGCACTAGCTGCATAAGTTACAATGATGGCCGAGAAGGTCCCCAGTTTCAAGGAGTTCTTAAAGACATCTGAAATAGATGGAATTGGTCACCTGAGTCATTTTTCTTGCCCTCTCCAAAAACTCCAGGCCACTGTTCCAATCATTAAAGAATTATATGTCCAGATCCTCTATGAGACTGAACTATTAGCATCCTTTTGAAAGCTACTGGTATCTCTCAAGCCATCAGTTTTCATAAAAACATTGCCTCTGAATATTTCATTCCATCTAATGGTTTCTTGTAGCCATGGCCTTTGCGATCTTATTCAAGCTGCTTAAAAGCATGTATGCTGATGGCCATCACATTTCTGGTAATGAGTCCTGAAGGTTAATTATGCCTTGTAATGATTATTCCCTATTTCTGGCTTGAAGATGTTGCTGATCAAGATCAGACTTCATAGGAGGCCCTGTATCTCTTGACACAAATTAGCAAAATAGACAATTATTTGGCATTTGTCAAAAATTAACTTTAGCTATATATTTTTTACAGCTGTATGATTAGAATCCCATCACCAGCGAGGTAGGTTTGCGTGTGTGTGTTGCTTCTAGCATGCAACTTCACAGTTCCTCACGTGCTGCATCACAGACACAGTCCTACAGAAGCAGACTTCTCAGAAGTGATTCTAAAATCATGTGTGACATCTAGAAGGGCAGACCCACAGCTTCAGACCACGTAAGTGAGGGGCAAAATCCAATGAACATAATAAATCAGTAGAGGTAAAGGCTAGCAAGCACAGCTCACAGTCCATCTTCTGTCGCACCAATCAAGTTATCCATTCTTTAAATCACAACTCCAAAATTGTTATCACTCAAAGTGCAATTGTTTAGTCTCGGCTTAACGTATGATCTCAACCATTTATAAACCACAGTGAGAGCAGAAAGTGCATATGATCCTGACCAAACCATGACTGAATCAACCATCTCACTGCAATTCACTTAGAAATGTCTGAAAGTCTATACCAGGAGTGTCAAACTCAAGACCTGGGGGCTGGATCCAACCCATGGGGTGCTTAGATCTTGCCCGCAGGGCAGCTCTGGAAATAGCGAAGGACTGGCCTGTCTGCTTCTGTAAGCAAAAATGGGCTCCTGAGCTCTGTTTTCAGCTGCCACAACCTCCCGCAACTCTCTGCCTGTGAAAACGGAGCTTGGGAGGGCCGTATGTGCAAGAGGTCGTAGCAGCTGAAAATAGGTATCTGGAGCCCGTTTTTGCTAGCAGAGCATTCGGGCCACCACAGGCACCCCTGAAACGAGTGATGTCGAGTTGGCCACGCCCACTCTGGTCACACACACCCCAAGGTCAAACACAACCGTGATGTGTCCCTCAGTAGAATTGAGTTTGACATCTCTGGTTTATACCTTCAACTTAAAATCATCCCTAGTCTACCTCTGCACTTACCGAAAGATGCATAAAACTAGGAAGCATCTTGCCTAGCTTTTCTTCATCCTGTTTTTTTAGATTATTCCCATCACCCTCAGCCAATATAACCATTATTGAAACCTCTTAGTAATAAGAGCAGAACGAAAAGCTAGAACAGGGCTGCCAAACTCACCAGGTACTGGCTGCGCCCATGCCCAGTTTAGTGAAGAAGAAAAAAGTTGCCATACGTAATGTGACGGTGCAAGTTTGACACCCCTGAGTCAGAAATATGACCTCCTCTCTCTGATGGAGTTTAGGCACAGGATTTTAGGCACAGGCACTTAAAGCTAAGTGTCCTAAAGACAACACAGATATAAGCATTCTCACAGGAGTTTAGCCATCGTGACATTGGTAGGTTCCAGCTGGTTACCACCTCCACCATAGAACGTGGCAACTCCACCCTCACAGGACGAGATACTGTCAGGTCCCTAAATAGGAGAAATGAATCAACAATTACTTGGGGCAAAATGCAGAGAGGATCAGGTGGGCAGTCTATTTCAACTTATGGACTACCATCAAGGACCTACTGAGCTAGAATTGTCCAACTGGCATATTTAAAAAGATGTGAAACTCCTAAGGTTTTTTCTATTTTAGCAGGAACTTTAGAAATAGTCTGATGATGGCTGTTCCAGGAAAGTGGCTTGAATATAAAAATAATAATAGGTTACAGAATCTGGAGCAAACAAGGTATTTGTTTTAAAAATAGGAATGAAAGAACCCAGCTTTGTGGTTCCCATGGAAATCACCCCCAAGCATCTCAAGAACAGGTAAAAGAAACAGGTAGGCAGCCTTTTTCAACTTATGGACTACCATCAGTCTTCTGAGGAGCAATGATTACGCAAGTGAGTGCACCAAGGCCAACTCAATTCTCACAACCCTGCAGTTAACTGCAATTACTGCAGTTGTCTGAAATGGTGTAGAGTTTCCTGCCTAGGCAGGGGGCTGGACTAGAAGACCTCTAAGGTCCCTTCCAACTCTGTTATTCTATTCTATTCTAACCTTATAATCAATTGATTTTCAATTTTGAAATACTGCATTATTCATTAAATATGCATTAAGCAACAAAACTATGTTTATAATTAAGCAGGCAATATTGTTCTGTCAGTCCTTGGTTGCCCAATTAAATTAACATGGCAGAATTTTTCAGTAGCTTCCATAACCTGAAGAATAATGATTTTAGTGAGAGTGGATGCTCCTGGTATTTTCACTGCTGGTAAGATTAAAAGGGATGAGATTAAATCACGTGTTTTCTCTTAGTGTAGATAAATAGCGAGGAGGGGGAGTCCAAAAAAATGATACCGCATAACTAAGGGGTGACTGGCATGCAAAAGGTAGATAAATAGAGAAATGTAAAATTACAGGAAGATTTCAATTAAATATATGAAATTTGCATGAAATTGATTGTGAATAAATATCATTTTAAGGAATCAGTGTTCTGCACTGAAAGAAAACCACTGTGGGAAAGGACACCTTGGAGCAAAGAATATGTAATATTTTTTAATATATATATATATATATTGCCTACAGGAGTCATGCACACTACCTTAAGCTCATGGGAGAAAAGCTGAGAGAAAGATCAAAAGTCGACAAGGAATAAAAACAGTAACAAATGTAAGAGGATTACCAGCATCTCAAAGAAAAATGATCTTTTACTTCATTCCTAAAAGATATATTAGAAGCTTCCTCCAACTAGGCTTTTCATATATATTTTAATACATTTCCAATTTGCCTACTTTGTTCCCAATTGTGCTTTGAGAATTTAAAGCTTATAAGCAAATGATTCTAGGTGCCATCTTCCACCCCTTCTTACCATTTCAAATTCTCCTTTTCCTCTGTAAAACCTGATCCTGCCAGGGTGGCTGTAGTCTCAGACAGAAAGCCCACAAAGTAATTGCTGAAATGGAAGGAACTGGCACTCTCATAAGCCCTGAGCCACCTGCACATAAGAAGAGATGAGAATTTAGAAACCCGGGAAATAGTTGCACACCCAATTTTCCAAGAGAAGTTTAAGGCCCCATGGAGACTTACCTCATTAAAGTACTTCTGGCATGCACAAGAAAGGAAAGAAAAGGAGAGAAGTCAAACAGAAAACAAGTAAGAAATAAGTTAATACACTGGTTAGAGACTGTTGTATGTATTGGCAGTTTGTTTAAGTGCCTACGTGAATCTAGAAAGGAAAAAAAGCAATGTTATAGTTGCAACCCACACACCTGCAAAGTATTTTTAAACAATAGATGAGGAAATAGATGATGAGGAAAAACAGATGGATTTAATGGCCCCAGTTTGTCCCTTCATAAGCTATTTAGCATGAAAGATTAAAACAAATTTGCATGCTGATGCTCATTTGTCATAAGTCACACAGGCCTCTAAATTATAACCCTATTCTCTAAACGGGCCAATTCTTAAAAAGGCAGAAATGCATGCAAGCATTGAGCTACCTCTGGCCAAATTGTATGTTTCAATAAATCTCTAAGTGAACAGAAATTGTACATGGAACAAAATGAAACATAATTTTCTGCAAATTTGAGTGCAAACTTACTATTTATATGGCATTACTTACACGTAGAAAGAAAATAGCAAACATAGTAGGTGCAAAAGTTGCATTCAGAATTTGTAATACTCCTTTGGCTGAAACAATAGCTTCCAAACATTTCCTATAGCCAGTTGAGAATCTTTCCATTCTTGCCATTGGAATTTCCTCCAACCTTATTTGCAGAAGAACTGAGAAATATTCCTAGATCTGCTTTCATTCATTACATGTTTGAGATCTTCCCCACAGAATCTACCTATCAATGTTTAATGCCACATGCATACTTATTTCTATAAGCTCTGCCTTAATAGACTTCGTTCATGATGCCAGACTGCAATATGGTGAAGTACAGCTGTTGAAGGTAGGTAAAGGAATTCCTGTGGATTTTACTCCACTAAGTATAGAGAGTAATGCTCATCTCTGTTTCAAGGCCATTGAGCCAGCATCGTCTAAAGACATTTCCATTGTCATGTAGCCAGCATGACATCACGGCACACTGTTACCTTCTCACCAAAGTGGTACCTATATATCTACTCACATTTGCATGCTTTCAAACTGCTAGGTTGGCAGGAGGTGGGGCGAGAACTGGAGCTCACCCCATCAAGTGGCACTTGGATCTTGAACTTGGGCTGCTGGCTTTCCAGCCCAACAAAGCCCAGCATCTTAACCCCTGACCCACCACACTGTCCTTATCGCTGTCGTAGGAAGAGGATGAAATTCAACTGGCGGGAAAGGAGGTGCAAAGCACTTAGACTATCTGGTGAAATCTGCAACTGATTTAATCCACAAGAGTTCATGCAAGTCAACCAGGGCTATGAATTTTAACTCAAATATCTTCTACTGGTTGAATAGTTCATTTACCTCAGAAATCTAGAATTGGGTCCTCTGGGATAATCTAACCTTCCCTACCAAGTCATGTTATACCATTTGAGATATACTAGAAATTTCCTTGTCTCTCTATTAAACTTTTCTTAGGACTGTCTAGATTCAAGACTCATCTCCTGATCTACATAAAAACTCACAAAAACCTATTGCTCCCACTTAAAACTAGAAAGGGGCATTTGGGGGCAATTATGTGTCAAGATCACCCCTGTTTGACTCAGCTTCCATTTTTTTTGCTCTCATTCTAATTACTCTTGCCTGTCTCTTCCATGCTCTCTTAAACAAAAAGAATTGTTTTTTTTTCTCCCTCCTGGCAAGCTACGCATTGATTAATTTTTGTAGAAAACTGCATTAGAGCCATTTCCTCTTCTGGGCTAGACTAGGCCTGATGGATCAGAGGTGGAGGTTCTATGCTGATTTAAAAAGAATTAATTCTGGCTAGGAAGAAAACCAAAAAGGCCTGATCCAGGCTTTCCACTGCATCTCTAATAGTTTCTCAGCCAGAATTGGGCATAATGGCAATTGCAGCCAACTGCACCTGGAGATACATAGCTGAGGAATCTGTTTATTTTTAAAAAAATATACAATATAGCCCTTTTCACTCCTACATGTAATCCTTGATTTACAACCATTATAGAATAGGAAAATCTGTCATTAAACAGTGTGATTGTTAAGCGAAGCATGATGAGGCAGCCAATTTTATGACCTTTTTTTCCACAGGTATCAAACACATCATAGTGGTCACTAAGCGAGTCGCAACTTGTGACCTTATCTGCCGGCTTCCCCATGATTTTGCTTGTCAGAAGCTAGCTGTCAAATTTGAAGATGGAAATTATGTGACCATGGGACACCGCGACCGTCGTAAATGTATGATGGTTGCCAAGCACCCGAATCACCGATCGCTGTGAGGACCAGTCATCACTTTTTTCCTCCTAACTTTGAATAGTTGCTAAACAAAGGGACATAAGTCAAGAGCTGCCTATTCTTCACTGTTGCCGTTTCTTGAAAGTACACAAGTCAAATTGTAGATTTTTCCAGCTAGGAAATAGCCTATGAATATGAGCAGAGATGGATTAATACTACATGCTAATTCCAGTCATGGAATCTATTGAAGTAATGACTCTTAACTAATGTTTGGAGAAATCAGGATGTTCCGTGGTATAGAAAGTCACCTGGATTTTAAACTTGTTATACACTTCACAGGCAAAGTAGCTGCTGTTAAGGCACTGACTTCTGAAATATATTCCAACTGGTATCTTGTGTCATGGATCCCAGCACCCATGAGGTGGCATTTCTTTCTCAAGAAACCAATGAAGTGCCACATGGATCTAGAGAGTCCATTCTGGAGTGTATGCTTCCAGCTGAGCAACCTGATCTCTAGTGAGAAAGTCTCGTGGCCTGACTAATCATCTTCTTTTTGCTTTCCAATAATAGCTGCTACGCCAAGAATGCACCTATTTCTTTAGTTTAGGGCTGACCATAGTATTAGGTGGATGAAGCATAAATTCACCTCGGTAGGCTATTTGGAGCTGGGATATGTTGGCTTTTCATAGTCCTTCTTTTCTTCCAACAACCTGTGGCATTCCAAAATATTGCTAACAACTTCTCAGCAATTTTATTCTACTAAAGGGACATCTGTTTTTCAGCCATCTTCTCAGTAAAAAATGTCTTTCAAATTTTACTAATGTTCTAAGGAATTGTGATAGCATGCGAAGAATAAAAAATAATTTTTTGTGTCCACTGATCTCAGATTTTTGTCATCACACTACCCAATATGACAAATTGTCAAAACTGGCTGTTACGTAATTTATATAACACCTCTGCTATGGAGGAATTGAACCCTTGAATGGCTTCAAGGTAATAAGGCAGACCTATACATACTGACAGAGCAAAGCAACCATAGGAGGTACTAATGCAGAAATTTATCTACAGGCCATAGGAAAGTTTAGAGACCTCTGAAGACATATTGTGTCACATGATTAGCCCTAATGACTTGATGCCAATGTACAAGACCACAATTGCTAGGACACAAACATCTCTGACATAAGCTTGAAAGAACTCTCATGTCACAATGTTCCCAATAAAGTGACACAACAAATGGAGATGTAGACAACAGTCATGTAGATGTCACGAATTGTGAATGAGATGTCTGACCAGGGAAGAATCCAACTACTATCATCTAAGTCATATTACCTGCTTCTGCGCTTCCTGTCACGAGGGATATGATCCCAATGAGAGAAAGTAAGGGAGGAGAGAGAAGGATTAAACAAAGTTAAAGCTGATAGAAAGCGAGAAAAAAGGAGTTCATTTAAGTCACTGTACATTCTGAGAAAATTAAATACATGCGGGAAAAGTATGACATGCACAACTTTTCCTCATGCTGTTGAAAGATGCCACATTTGTTGAGCTTCTCTTGACCTCTCAACTGTTAAATCCAAAATGTGAAGTCACCAAACCAGAGGCCTACTGAGTTCAGTGAGTTACAATTTCCAGAATCTCTTCTTAATAACACTCCTTAAACAGTACTTTTTAGAATGAAACTGGAGGGATTAAGGTGGGCTGCTACTTCCAATCTA